AAAAATGGTCATAAGTCACTTTTTTCAGTGCCATTGTAACTTTGAATGGTCACTCCACACAAGCAAAGTACCAGCAAAGGAGGGGAAAAATAACTCCAGAGACGTTCCAGAGACAGGAAGTCTAGTCCTGCCACGAACGAAATAAGGGTTAATGGAGAGGCAGTTTCTGTAAGCAACACCAGAATGTTTCCTTCCTGCCTTCCTTACAGGATTAGGCCAGTAATTTCTTCTAATAACTAGAAGAATAATTTCTTCTAATAAATGTTTTTTTTAAACAAATTTTATTAATTTTAAAGACAAACAAACCATCATTAACCATTAAATACATAAACCTCTTTCCATTATAAATTTTACAAGTCAAATAAAACATTATTTTATACAACATAATTCTATTTTAGACCATTTCCATATGAACATACAAATATCTCTTATCAAATTTCTCCTTATTTCTCTTTACACTTATTCAATTTCATTATTATTATTTTTCTCTATATTTATCCAATTTATAATTACCATCTATTTCTCTCTGACTTGGTTACCATTATTCTCATCCTACATTCCTGCAAGGTTTTATTAATTCTCCCACATACATAAACACACAAAACACAAAAATATAAGACATCTTTTAGGAAAGTAACTTGGCCCCAGATACCTCTCTCTATATGGACTTCAATTAAATTCATGCTCATCTTACATGCCATTACCTATTTTATTTACCATTCTATATCTTCTATCTTAGCTTCTCCACACATTTCACTCTTCTTGATTCTATCTTATTTAATTCATTTTAATTTAAGTCATTATATTTGTATCTTTTGTCCATTCTTTATTATCCATTTGTCTCATTCCCTATAGTAAAAAGGAAAAAGAATTTCTCCTGAAATCACTAATCAGAGTATGATGCCTTTCTATCATCCCCCTAAATTAACATTTAAAATAACACCTAATACCCAATCTGATTCTGCTTGGTACATTCTATCTACTAACTTTTAAAAAGAAAAATAATAAATCCAAAATGATTAAATACATAGTTGAATAATAAATCTAAATATTGAATCTTATAACATTCCAATTATCTTTTCCAAAAACAAATGCTACAATAAGTTTATAATAGCATCAACACCATAGTCAATTAGACTCTTTAATTAAACTCAATATTCTAAACATTCCCTTTAATATTTTATTAGGTTTTAAAATCAATCATTACTAAACATTTCAATATTTTAATCTCTTATTAATTCTTATAACCTTCTAATTTTCTATTTCTAATACAAATGCTACAGTACCATCTTATGTACCTTGCAGAATCTTTTTTAAAGAAATTATACATTACCCTTTGTCCCTAAAAAAAATTCCTCTTTTCCCATCTTGTTTCAAAGCTTTATGGCTTTTTTCCGCCTTTTCCCTTCCTTTCTTCTCCCACCAGACCTTCTTACCCCCCCCTCTCCTAGCCTCTGCCTTGTTAGCTTCCCTTCTCTGTTGTATTCCTTTTTTCTTTTGTTTTCTAACATTATATTGATTTTGCATCTTATTTTTCTCTTTCTTGGGTGTTTTTTTAAGTCTTAAGTCCTTCATTTTCCTTCCTCTCTTTCTCCTTTCTTTCTTAATTAAATTTTGAGATTCATTAAAGATGGCATCTTCTTCTTCTTCTTCTTCTTCTTCTTCTTCTTCTTCTTCTTCTTC